GCCCCACACAGCTTGGTGTCATCAGTGATATGTGCTGAGGGTGCACTCAATTCCACTGTCCGTGTCACTGACAAAGATGTTCAACAGTATCAGCCCCAGCACTGACCCCTAAGAGACACCATTTGTCACTGACTTCCACATGGACAATGAGCTGCTGACCACAACTCTCTGCATGTGACTGTCCAGCCAGATCAGCTCCCGTGTGAAAAACTCTGTTAGTTAGCTCAGCTCAGTAGCAAAATAGCATTTCCTAGCAGAGATGGTGCAGAAGACTTCCTGGCTTGGCTTTTTGCTAAGCAACCATTGCTCATGGTCCAAGCAGGTTTTTTTACCTGAAAGAAGAATTTCTGCTTCTTGAATTTCAACATTACCTTCCTTTTTCCCCTCTCAGGTTTTAACCCTAAATATCTTTGAGGAAATCATGAAAGAGACCTAAGCTGTGTGTCCTCAAAGACATTGTCTTTTATAGGATAAGTAATACAGTTAGGAAAAAAAGGAAAACCTTTAGGGAGCGTAATCCCATCTTTGGGTCAGAAACACCTTCTGTATTCCTTGAATCCTTGCCTAGAGGAAAATAGCCTCTAACAACCCTCTTCTTCTTCATCCCCACTGCACAACAGTAACATCTGCACTCCCTCCAGCAGCACATCCAGGATTTCTCATGATAGGCCATTAATCTGAAAACTTTTACCCATTTATTCCTCTCTGTTGTGCTCTGTGTGTCATACAGAAGGGAAGAAGTCCTCTGAAGACCCAGAGGAATGAACCCTTATTTTGAATTGCAGTCTCTTTGAGGGGAGCTTACTCCTATTTTAGGATGTGACATGAAAAGGGAACTTCTCATTATAGCTGGTGGTTTTGTGTTTCTGTGCCTTGAGGTTCATTTGCAGGTCTGTCACATCCGAGGCAGTTGCTGAGTTCTCATCCATCATTATCATGAGGACAGGCAGGAGGGTCCTGGATCATTGACTCTTCAGAAGGGAGTTGTGGCCTCCCTTCTGGGCAGAGATTCATCCATCTGACATGCAGAAGGTCACATTACGTGACAGCAAACTGCCTCAGCAGCTCAGCTATGTCCAGTCACAGCAGAGTCAGTGCTCTGATGGAGGAGTGAAGGTGGAGGTGATGCTGCTTGTTACTGACTCAACAAAACTGAAAGCCATCAGCTTTTTCTCCAGGAACATATATCTTGAACTGCTTTTCTAGTGGCCTTTAAAAATTCCCTTTTGTACCATTTTTCTCCCTCCTCCTCCAGAGATCTGTGGTTTGGTGGTAGCAGTGTAGAGTCAAGGAAGGTGTAGCTGCCAAGGGGGAACCTGAGCCCAACTTTCCTCTGCTGTAGTGGTTAAGATCCTGCTGCTTTAAACAAAAATGGATTCCAGACATGATTAGATCTGATTCTTGATTGAGAAACACAATGAGGAGGTGGATGAAAGGTGACCAAAGGAAGATTGAATGATTGATTCTGCATTCAAATTTCACTGTTATTTTTAATTGATTTTTGGGTAAATAGTCTTTATATCCATGGGGAAGTATTTAGCATTGGGTTGGGAAGGGAAAGATGTTTGAATTCTGTGGAGTTGCTTTGTTCTGTTCTCATTTTTCCCCTTTTCTGCCTTTCTTTTTGGCTTGCTGTGTCATTTCTCTTCTTCAAAAGCAGAGGGAAAGCTTTTCTAAAGAGTCTGAACTGTCTACTCCAAGAAACATTCTTTTAATTAAAACATATTTCTGGATCTGTGCCTCTTGTAGCCATGGTCCACAGTAAGAGCACAAGCCTAATAAACTATTTTGTTTCATAAATGCTGTGTTCCCTAAATTGTACAAAGAGATCAGCAGAAATTGCCTTCCACAGACATCCCTTTCCATAGGTTTACAAAGAGCTTTTCTTCTTTTATGAAATGCACATGCAAGAAAACCCAATAGTTGTATTTCACAGACTGTGTTAAAGACTTGTGCTTCAGAATTGCCCTTAAAAGTAAAACATCATCATGTTATTTAGTGGTAACTTGAAAAAAGGATTCTACTTTACTAGTTTCTATTGCTTTTACTAATATTGCACTGTCTGAGCATGGCAGCTGTAGCAGTTGTGCATGTGACCTAGGCAGGATCACCTGTGTGCTCTGATCACAAAAATACTTGTCAATAAGAGACAGAAATTAGTGGTTTTAGGAAATAATTTTCTTTTTTTTGGTTCTTGAAGGAGATGAAATATGCTGGGTTTTTGTAACTTGATCTGCTTTCCTTGTTCCTGCCTGGTCCCAAAAGAAGAATTCTTTGGCTTACATATCTATATAATGGCCATAAGCTGAGATGGGAAAGATGAAGATGAGATATTAGGAAAAATGTTTTCCCTGTTAGGGTGTTGAGGCACTGGAATATTGCCCAGGGAGGTGGTGGAGTCACCATCCCTGGAAGTGTTTTAAGAGGCATCTGGAGGATATGGTTTAGGGTTTAGGAGTTAGAGTAGTGACAGGTTAAGGGTTGAACTTGATCATCTTAGAGGTCTCCTCCAACCTTGATGATTCTGTGGTTCTGTAATAGTCAAAGAACTTCAGTTCAGGGGAGCCAGTGAAGTTCTCCTGTTTGTCCAGTGATGAGTCACCAAACTGAAGAGGTGGTAGCTCAGAGCTACTGGTGTACGACTGTGCTGGAAGCCAGAAGAGCTGTGAGCTGTGTGGGGAGGGAGAAGGTGCTGTAAATAACCAGCTATCAGAGTTGCTAGAAATGGTGCTTGGCTCCAGCCAGTAACAGAGCTGTGCCAGGCTGGCATTCCCTGGCTTCCCCATCCTCATGGAGCAGACTGCAGATGGCAGGTGTGTGGAGCTCAGCAGTGCCTGAGGACACCACAGGCAGGTGCAGCTCAGGCAACCTGTCAGCTCAGTGCCATTAAATGTGCTCCTGGAAGGAGCATCTGAGCTCTGATGGCTTTTTAATGGTTATCTCTGTAATCCTCAAAGTAGGAAAAGTGCAATTTGTAGTCATTTAAAGACAATTTTCTGTTGACATTAAGATGCTTTTGTAATGTTGATGAATGTTTTGGTTCTTACCACCTTCCTCCTGTTTGAGCAGTAATTAAACCAGCACTGTGGTGGTTTCAGTTCAGCTCCCTCTTCCCTCTGTTCCTTTGCCCCTCACTCCTTCAGCATTGACTGATAGAATTTTGGTTAATTCCAAGTGACTGAGTCTGCTCTTCAGGTTACACATAGTGTTCCTTATGTAAGTTTTGCTTTATATGATTACATAGTTAACAGGTTTGAATCATAAATTAATAGGAGCAGAGAAGAACTTTTATTTTGTTAAGCATTAAACTGTGTGAATACCTTCTTTTTTCTGCAAGTATGTGTTTCTGCTCTTCTTACTTTACCAGTATAGTTTATAGGTTGAGAATAGCATGAAAAGCATCTGGCCCGTGTAAAGAACTTTTTCAGAGCCTCAGGAAATACTTCTTTCCATTAAAATCTAGAAATCAAACCTCTCCTGATTTTACAATAGGCTGAAATGATGAACTGCCCTTGATTGAAAAAAAAGATAGTTAGATATAAAAAATAAATGGGATTTAAAAGGTGTTGAAAGCTTGTATGCTTATTTCTTTTAAAAAAGAATTATTTCTCAGAGTAACTTCTTTATTGTATGTGATTCTGTTTGTTTATTTCTGCCTATAAAATGGTATATCAGAACTCAGTGTTGGTAAGTATTGCATAAGTACTTTTATATAGATTGTGTGTGAGGACTGTAATTCAGGCAGTGGTAAAACTTTCTTCATGCTCTGAGTGTTTTCTGTCACTAACCTGTTACTGACAGGCTGATTTTTTACCTTTTCATGTGTCTGTGAGTATCAGTTGCTTCTCAGAATCTGTTGTCTTCACTTGACATCAAGTAGAGACTATCAGCTGTTCTTTCACTCAGACTTCCCTGTGTCAATCATGACAACACTCATGCATTTTTTTCTTTCTCCTTTTGCCTGCAGAATGAACTTCCTCAGATAAAAGCTTTTTCTACTCTTTCACCTATCCCAGGATTCACAAAATGGCTTGTGGGTCTCCTCTCCTCCCAAACAAAAGAACAGGGAAGAAATGAACTTTTTACAGAATCTGAATGGCAAGAAATCTCTGAGATCACAGGAGACTCTACCACGGAAACGCTAAAGAAACTCCTCAACAACAATGAGTGGGTGAGATCAGAAAAATTAATTCAGGTGCTGCAGTCACCACTGATGAGACTTTGTGCCTGGTACTTGTATGGGGAGAAGCACCGTGGCTATGCTCTTAATCCAGTGGCAAATTTCCATCTTCAGAATGGCTCTGTGATGTGGAGGATAAACTGGATGGCAGACACAAGCCCTCGGGGCATTGGAGCTTCTTGTGGCTTGATGGTGAACTATCGCTATTTCCTGGAGGATACAGCCAGCAACAGTGCAGCTTACCTGGGCACTAAGCACATTAAAGCCTCAGAGCAGGTGCTTTCCTTGGTGTCTCAGTTCCAGCAAAACAGCAAGCTTTGATTCAGTATTATGAAAACTAAGAACGAGTGTTCCTCACCTCTAAGGAGCTGTAATAATTTGCAGTGTCTGTATTTAAAGGAGAATGTCCCTTGTAAAACAAATTGACTCAGCACAGTGCAGAGTTATCTGGATTGTCAGTTGTCTTGCTTACATGGCCAGAGATGCAAAACCTGAATGGCTCTGCAAGTTCTAGACATCTGGTATATGCAGATATGTAATAAAGGCTGAGTAAAATTCTCTTAATCAGTTACAACTCAGTGGAAACTTGAATGGAAAATACTTGAGCCAAGCATTATCCTGATATAATAAACCTGTTTAAACTGTTTCTGAATAGATTGCACTTTATAATACTGCTATAGATTGTCCAGTACCAAAGTGCCTGGAAAGGACTGAATGAAGGTAAATTTTTGGTCAAATAGATTATCAAAACTATAGTCTACAGTTGTATTTCTATAATATCTGTCTTTTTCATCAAAAAAATCTCATGTGAAACCTCTTCATATTTTCCTTTTTCAAGCTAAAAATGTCACTGAATCCTTGCTTTGCTGGAGCATGGAGAAGCCTTGCATACGTGTTGAAAAACTAGGATCTCTCGGTGCAGTAGGTGTGTCATATTATGTTTGTATTTTGTGGCTGCTAAATTGTAATGAGCATTAAGGAAGTGTCCAAATTGGAGAGGAGAACAAGAGATATTGAGACTTAGGGATCAGATGAGAAGTTTCTAAATATGTATATTATACTTTGGCTCTGGTAATGTGTAAGTTGATAAAGAGCTTTTTTAATAAAGTGGTAATTGTGACCTGTAAACCATTACAATAAACTTTCTCAATAAATTATGTCTTGTGTGTTTCAGCATCTCCTTGATAACAGTTTCACCACAGCAGAAGGCCCATCTAAACAGAATTTCATGCTGTTTTGTAATTTCTCATTTATTCTGTGTCTGGTCAAATTCCAGACCTGTTTTCAAGCAAAGAATTACACAGAGTGTAATACAGAAGTGATAGTGTGTCTGCTCATGGGTGAAAACAGAAGTGAAGAAAGCTGTAAGTGTCCAGTTTTCCCCTAGAATGAAGTTATTTAATTGGATACACTATTTTCATATTCATTATTAGAAACAAATTCCATCTGCAAGCTGGTAACCTGTTCCTGGCGTTTCTGTTCCTGGTAGGTTTTGTAGCAGCAGTTGTTAAAGGACAGGAGAACATTCACTGCTTGTTACTCCCGTGAGAGCAGAGGCAGCAGCTGCCACCAGTGGCAGTGGTGCCACATTAGCAGTGACAGCTCTCCATGCCATGTTGCCTTCATTATGTTTTTAGGGATAGTTCCAAGAAACCCAACAGTTTTCTCATACAACAAATGAGTTTATTGATTTTTATAGGATAGGATTAAAAAAACCCACTATCATCCCCTTGCAAACCAGATGTGTCCAGCAATTTTTCAGTTGCCAAAACCACTAAGGAAGAATTGAGTTCCATTTGAATTGTGTGTGGAGGTTCTGGTGCATATACCAGGAGCAATGTGGTATAAACCCAAATACAAGTTGGTTTTGGTTTTCGTTTTGGTTTTTTGCACCTTCTCTGGATATCTTGCTGACTGTGCATTGTAGAAGTGCAAAGAAATATGAAGATTATTTGGTTACACTTCCTATGTTCATCTGGGGAACTAAGGATTGAATGCTCAAAACCACTGGAAATTTTATGAGAGACTTCGAACAGGCAACTTCACCCTGACAACCTGAGGAAATAATTTGAGTGACTGTCAGTTTTTGCTCTTGGATCAGTAGTTACAGTAAGTTTTCTGCACAACCATATGTATGTAGGGTCTGTATATAGTGCTTCATATGGCAGGTTTTAAATTTAAAGTTCATGCTTCACCCTCAGGAAATGCTAGAAGTTGATCACAGGTATTGATTGAATAATTGCAGGTCCAGAGGAGAGTTCAGGCTGGAAAAGAGACAGGCAGGGCAGCTGGAGGGTTGGAGCCAAATGTATATATAATTGTTTGGCTTAATTAAGACATGTCGTCTCCTGGCATTATTTTTTATTATTGCATTAAGAACTTGGTTGTCATTTTACTGCAAAGCCCATATTTTTAAGGCATTGTTAGAATTTTGTTAAAGTTCCTTCTGAAGTTGGTGTGCAAGTTTTAGACCTGGAATGTGAATGTTAGGGAATACACAGTGTGTCTATTTAGCACCTTATATGAAAAGCATACTAAAAAGTAGCCATTTACAGTTGAGAATAGCAGACCTGTGTCAATATATCAGACCAACAAACTGCTCACACATCACTTTTCCTTTCTCTGTAGCACATGCATTTTGCTAGTCAGGTTTTTGGATGGAGTTTTGGGATCAACACTGCATTGCTACTGATCTTTTCACCACACAATTACTACAGGCCAGTCCCAGTTTTAACAGTGGTCAGAAACTTCATTCTCCTGTTTGGTTTTCTAATCTTTCTGCACTGCCTTAGAATTCAGGTTTCAAGGTGAAATTTAGCTGTTTATATAAACATATACAAGCTATTCTTAGCTGGGCAGAATAGAGAAAGAGAACCTTCTCTCTTTGTTATGTTAAGCTCTTCAAGTTTGAGGAAATCAGGTCACTTACTTCCAGTGCAAGGGTTCTGCAAATGCAGTGGGTTTGAAAGATGGTTATATTTTAGAGCAGGAGCAGCTCTGAGGGCAATTAAATGTGCATCCTCCTGGCCATAGTTCAGAAAGAGCTAACACTTCTGCTGTATTGCAAATGGAAATGCTACATAATCCCATATTCTTAACAGCTGGACTTGAAGGATAATGAGGTTTTTCCACTTGGAGCCCCAGACAATTGTATGAGGATTGGTTCAGTGACATGGAGTGATAGCAGCTTATAAAGAAGAAAAAGCAAAGCTGCTAATGCTTCGTTAACACGTCAGTTATTTCCCCAGACCTCTGTGTGCTGAGACCTAACACCACCAGGACAGCAGTGCAGATTTGCCCTCAGCTTAAGGGGAGCAGGAATAACTCTTTTTTTCCTTCCTACAAATCTGAAAATGAGGAAAATAGTTACTGATATTTGGGTATGGCAAACCAGCCAGAGGTCTTGCTGTCAAATTCAAACCTGTACCCTCTGTGGCTCCAGGACTGACTCTTGGCTGCTGACACGTGGTTCAGTGGCAGGTCATGAGCAGGTCCCTGCTACCTCACCTCATGCCCATGTCACATTTCTCTACATGTTGGATTGACCAGTCACTCCTGCATTAGCAATCAGTTTTATTTGCTGCTGTTCCCAGGAGCTGTTCTAAGGGGTTTGGGATGTGGGGCTGAGAAGATTAAGCCAAAGCTGTAGCAGCATCTTCCTGGGGCTATTCTGGATGAGTCCATTTGTTACATGACATCTGGTGTCCATCACAACTCTAGCACCTGCAGAGTTATTTCCTTTTCAACAGTTGTTATGGTTTTGGTTATTGGTTGGGTTTTGCTTTCTGAGGTCACTTCATCTGTTCTATTGATAAGTTAAACAATGTGAAGCCAAAATTTCCTACAGTGAGTTCTGTATCAGAATCACAGTACGAATTTCAGTGCAGAAGGGCCATTTGAAGATGAAGGCAGGACAGGCTGCTCATAAAAGCCATCAGCTGTCAAGTGCTATTAGTTTTCTTTCATTGGCCCTTGATTCTTAACTTTTTATCAGTGCTTGGATTTTCCAAGTGGCTACTAAAGAGTGATTTTAGTATGAAAGATGCTGAAGAGGAAAATAAATATTCACCATCTGTACTACTTGCTAGGACAATAACTGTCTCTGGAGAGGATCTTGCTCTGTCAAAGTGAGTCTTCAGAGCTCAGAAAGAGGAGAGAAGTCCAGTTCCTTTTTGTCCCTTTCAGAGTGCAACATTTACAGTGCCATCTCTGAGGATCATGCACACAGTGTTAAAGAAAAACACCTTCTGTTATTGTGTGTTGAGAGAGGAAAAGGGGAGGCTGCCCTCAGTGGCTCACTCCTCAGGAAGCAGTGGGAGCTGCTGTGCTGGTAGGTGCAGCATATAAAAGCATCTCAGTTTCACAGCTGCATCCTCCCTTTGAAAGCAAATCAATAGAAATTATGTTACTTTGTCACTTATGGTTGTTTATGATCAATTTAGGCCATTTTTCTTGTCACTGGAGTAGAGCCTCTCCGTGCAAGCTGTGTGGAGTGGAATAGGATCTGTGCTCTAACATGTGCCCTGGATGAATAATGAGAGGCAAAATATTGCTTGGCTGGGAGATACTCAGTTTATTTGCAGATGCTGAGCCATCACAAAGTCCTGTTAATAGAAAGGAGTAAGTGTTTTGTGAAGCAGATGAACTTCCCATGTATGTCACTGTAGTTTATTTTAGTTATTGACTGCCATAACCTACAAAACATATCTCCTGGGGGATTTCCTCCTTGGGTATATGGGAACAATGGTCTATTAAACCAGAGGGAGGAAGGTAAAGGTAGCCTGATTCTTCAGCCTCTTGATACGGACCCTCCCCTAGGAAGGCAGAGATCCAGGTTATGGTCATCATGCCAGGAACAGTTTGCAAATTTTTAGCATTGTTTTCTTTAGAAAATTAGGAATAAGTCATCACATTTATTGTCTGGGTTTTTCTGCTTCCAACAGCACTTGAATTTTTTTGAGAAATCTGAACCCAAACATTTCTCAAGCAAAGGTGTTAACCACTGGAATGTTGTCTAAATGTTTGAGTACCTGTCTTCAACAAAAAAGACTCATAAATGGACCTAAAGGGAAGTACCATACCATGAGCCTGGGCAGATGTTTCCCTGCACTTATTCAACTTACTGTCTTATGACTGGTATTTTTCCACATGCAACTGCCATAAATCTTCCATTGAGGCATCAACTACATGATACACAGGTTATAGGGAAAGCTCAGTTGCCTTGATGTGTCACTTCCAAGCTTGATGCTTATAGTTAGGGAATTAAGCATAGCATGATTGGGTTAGGATCAAGGTACTTTGTAGTTAAATTTAAGTTTTGT